TATTAGTGGCTGAGTTGAAGGCAATGTCACACTAATTGGTGCCTTTGTTTGCACTCATCTTCTTGTGGTTATCTCTGATGAATTGGAGGACAACTGGAGATGTCATCAAATTCTGTCAACAGATCCATACAATTAGTCATTCAATGAAATCAATGAAACGCTAATTAAATACCAGTTTCTTCTCGTTTACGATCTCTTCGAGGAGTAAACCATTTTTGATACTCTTATCACTGATTTGGGAACTATTGGCCGAAGACTTGTTTTGATTGTTTGAGTGCTTTGGCTTTGATTTGGTGTTCATTTGGTTCAAATGATGGCAATTATGATCACAACAACAATCACTACAATCACTGCATTCAGCCATCACTGCACCACTGATTGCTGAACATTGCCTCACATTCACAGCCAACACATCCACAAACACTGTCACGAACTAAGTGGGGGTGGGGTGGGGTTGGGGGCACTCTATGCCACAAAAGGGTTCACTCGACACTCAATAGTTAATCATTTGCTCATTAATTCACATATATTTCCCATAATTAATGATTTAATCAAATTATAGGATACTTGAGCTCATTATGGTATAAGAAATGAAGACATGAATCAATAAGACATGAAGTGCTGTATAGTATTGTATGTCTCGCAGACATATAGATGTGGGCCCTTTGTATATGGAGTGAGCGATTGTGTGGTGTATTGCATAATAGGGTAAGTGTTGTGTTGAATGCGATGTAAACAAAATGTTTACAAAACAATACGATTGTAACGAATGACAAGAATATTGTGTTTCGCAAGTGATTCACGGATTCAGTCATTGAATGCATTGTTTTCATTGCAATTACTTTGCATTCATTTCACAACAAATTACTCGCAATTAGTGTTTATCTCATAATTTGGTGCCATTTGTGACCAAATTGTTCACCATTTGAGCAATTTGTGTGCTGCAGAGGAAGACGTGGTGAAGACATCTTAGGATGAGTGACAAGAATCAGACGGTAAGTCAGCCGCCGATCAAAATCGGGCACTACTTGTTGGCCGAGACGTTAGGCATCGGATCCTTCGGCAAAGTTAAGAGTAAGACATCTTTGGACTCATTGAATGAGTGTCTCATGGCTTGTGTCCACAGCGGCGAGACATCAGTTGACGGGCCATAAGGTTGCCGTCAAAATACTCAACCGACAGAAGATCAAGAACTTGGATGTCGTCGGAAAGATCCGCAGAGAGATCCAGAACCTCAAGCTCTTCAGACACCCGCATAT